TTCCCCTCCTGGTATTGCTCCTCTCATTATTGGTCCTGAGGGGTTTATCTGTCCTGGATTCCTGTGTTTCCAACTCTGATCTGTACCCGTGTACATGCTCTGGTCTGAGGCCAGCGGATTTTTGACAGGAGCATATTGGTATCTACGAAACTCCATTGTGATCCTAGGTGCTCCTGCATCCTCTCCATCCGTGTGTTCAGTTCCACTCCATCTTGCCCTTTTTAGATTTCATCTGCAATTGTGGTGACCAGTGTTTTGAAAAGTAATCAACAGCTATTATCTTTATTATTTGAACAGTCTGGCCAGTGTTAAATAACAAAGTGCACTCAGATACGAATCTTATCATGACCAGAGGCTACTGAATGCACAGTGGTTCCCCTTCTATTTTAACTTCTGTTCGCCTCCAACACAGAAAAGAAAGCCCATTGTAAGGGGACACGTCCTAGATTTTTGTGAATTGTGGGTTTTGCATCTAAACCATGTTGTTTTGTTAGCAATAAAGGCAACTCTTTCCTACAAGGTTTGTGTAGGAAACCACCACCCAGCGTAGCACCACACAGGTGGCAAATCAGTACTTTCCAGATTGTTCTTTTCCACCTGGTAGCAGTACAGTTAGGAGGAGGGTGCACTTGGCAAAGGCAGAGAAGCCAGATCTTATACCCAGCTCTCCACCTGCCAACGGTGGGACTTTGCTGAAGTCCTTTCTCTCCCCAGAGCCTCGGTTGTCTTACCTGTAAAGTGGATGTTCTGACTAGGTATCTCCCGGGTCCTTGTGGAGGCGGCGATGGCTTGCTCCCTGGGCGCTCATTCACGGTGAGATGGAAACTGAAAAAAAAAGCCGAGGTCAGTAGCTGGACCCACTGTTGAGGAGCATTAACCATTCTGATTTTGTAAACACTGGATCATGTCACATCCTCACTGCCAGGATGGGCAACACACAGCTTGGCCCTGAGTGGCATAATCAAGTGCGGTTTAGAAAACTGACCTTTGTTTCTGGAGCCCCTGGTTCATGCAAATATCTAACATGCTAGGCTAGGCTGCTAAATGAAATGTTGGAGGTTCACGTTCACTGAGAGGTGACTCAGAAGAAAGGGCTGGAAATCTGAGAAATCGACCATTGGAAAAAACGATGGAGCACAGTTCTACTGTGACAAGCAAGGTGTTGCCATGAAGTGGAGTGGATTGAAGAAGGACTTTGTTAATTTTTCAAATCTGTGTTATTAGGGGGAGATGGGGATAGCTATTGACTGGGGGGAGAGGCCAGTTCATCAGACTCAGCAAGGGAATACCTCATCGTCACCATCTTCAGCTCTTCCTTCGTCTTCCTCAACTTCCTCAGTAACTCACTGCTCAGGGGAGGGCCCCCAGACTCTGAGATGAGAACTCAAACACATGCACTTTTTCAGAGGTGATTTCAGTAAGATATTGGGAGGTCAAACTGAAAGAGGAACGTTAACTCAAGGCACTGGATGCTTTCTCCTGTGGAAGGCTTCTGGAATATTGGGCGAGATATGTCCCCAAGTTACTCTTCGCTGCTGGGTTGACCAACCTGAGATATTACAAGACGCCTTTCCATTCTTCACTGCAAAAGGGTGTTAGATCCCTAACTTTTGTCCTTCCCTCTGCATGATCTGTGGACAGAGAAAACCTAAGGGTGGAGAGGCACTGGTGCTTGGAGCAGGTAGTGGGTGGTGTGGATGGAAATGGGCATAGTGATGCCAAGGGGCGATGGGAAGGACACAATGGCATTGGCCACATCAACCTGATCCAGGGAATAATACTTGTAGTGTTCCCAGAACCCCTTTTTTGCTGTCCAAATCCTCTTACTCACATTCATTTGCCATTTATCATCTAGAATACAATTATTTGGCTCTTACTGTTTCTACCATTATCTACCCATTAGCAAGACACATTCTTGTATATGCTTGACTGCCATTCTTTTCTAAGCCCTTCCTTCCCATGGAAACATTTCCTTAGTCATTTAGATTCACATACTTTCTGGCACATACATATTGAATATAGCTACAATTGACTTAGTTATCTACTTAGAATTTTATACTCTTTCATGATTTATTGATTTCAAAGGTCTTTCCCACATGATTTTAAGTATTTCTTTAATGACTATCCATTTAGCATTTGTTGTGTTGTGTTCCCTTCCTTTTTCCTACCCAACATTTATCTTTGTTTTTTTAAGCTTAAACATCATTAATTCAAGGAAGTCTTCTGTGAACCCTATGATTAGTTGTGCTTTCATGTTGTTGTTGTTACTAGGTGTCCTTGAGAGCTTTGGGCTCATGATGGTCCCATGTACACACAAACAAAACACTGACAGACCCAGCAGAAAGTGAAGGGCCAAGAGGGCAGCGCTCCACTCTGGGTCTCTCTCGAATGCAAAGGCCGCACACCCAAGAAAGTGGCAGCAGACTGCAATAGATTGCTAGGTTGGGCTCTGTCCCTGCCTTCACCCAGGAGCAGTCTAAACATCATAGTAAGGTTTTAATAATAGCTAATAATATATTAAAAGGACCAAGAAGTTGAATCAACTCAATAGATGGCCTAATTAGCAAGCTTGAAGACAAGTCATATCTAAGATACATCATAATCTGCTGGAATAATAATTTAAAAAGCACATAAAGAAAATCTGAAGAAGGCCTAGGAATTATGTGGGACACGATCAAACATGTGATCATGATCAGAATTCTAGGACAAAAATAGACACCCTCACCCCCATCTCCAACCCTGCAAAAAAACGAAAACAAAAGAAGGAGGCAAGGCACAGAAAAAATTGTTGAAGAGTTTTGGGGAAAACAAACAAACAACACAATTAATTTTCTCAACCTCATAAAAAAGGAGAGACCTGGAAGTGTCCTTCCTGGGGAGGAGATGAGCCAGTCAGGGTGCAGTG